TGGTGGTGGTCCTGTAGTCTGTGATGTGCTGCAGGCCTTGCCACATCCGTCTGGAGTCAGCAGTAGAATAGAAGCCATTCAGCTTCTCTCTGTACTGCCTCTTGGCCGCTGTGATGGCTTTCCTCAGTCTGTACTTTGCAGCTTTGTACTCCATCTCATCGCCTGATCTGTTTGCATGAGAGCGAGCATGTGGCGTACCTGACTGTTTATCCAGGGCTTCTAGTCGGGGAACCTCCTGACTTGTATGGTGGGCACAATGTTGTCGATACAATGTAATGTAATGTACCCAGTCACATACTCAGCATAGTCCTGTACGCTGACAGAAAAGTCCTCTGAGGTGGCTGCAGCTTTAAACACATCCCAGTCTGTCTGGGCGAAACAGTCCTGCAGGGTGCCCTCAGTCTCTGGGGTCCAGAGTTTAATTTGTTTGGTGATAGGGTTTGTTTGTTTCAGTCTTTGTCTATAAGCTGGATACAGGAACAAAGAAATGTGGTCCAAGCGTCCAAAGTGGGGGAACAAACACAATATTTCTAAGCTGATAAACCACAAACAGTCAGAAAGATTCACCACATATCATGGAAGCAGTCAGGATAACTATTAGGATGACAAAAGAAGCCACATCTGCACAAATTAGGATTTTTTTTCTTTTTGCCATCATGTGACATCTGTACTAATGAGTTAAAGATGAAATGTCAGTTTCCTTGACCCAGCTTGGTCCAGTTACCTCACAAACAACATGCCAGGTGTGGAGCGCTTCCCTCTCAGCTTTAAGTCTCAGTTCTCAGGGAACCACTTCCACCACATCGTGCTGGGAGTTCACAGCGGGGGACGTTTTGGTGCCCTGGGCATGAGCCGGAGAGAGGACCTCATGTTCAAGCCCCTGGAGTTCCGAACACTGATGGAATTGGTGCAGGAATTTGACGGAGCCTACAAAGGCTGCTGGCACACCCTATGCAAGGTGAAGATCGGCCAGTATGTGTCCCACGACCCTCACAGTGTGGAGCAGATAGAATGGAAGCATTCGATCCTAGACTTGGACAAGCTGACCAAGGAGGAGCTACGGAAGGAGCTGGAGAGACACACCCGAGACATGAGGCTGAAGGTACAATACAGTGGTAGTGGAGAATCAGATGGCACATGTATGAAAACTGCCAACTGCTTGAAGCAGATACTTTTGAATGTTTAACTTGCTTTACATTTAGTTCTGCCACTATTAAAGAGATATTTATATGTTAAATTTAATGTAAAAAATTTGCATACTTTAGCTCTCACTTTATAGCTGACACCAGCACAGTTGTTCAAGCCCCCGTGGTACTAATGACAGTGATATGAAATATAGTTTGTCAGCAGATGGACTGCCCTTCCTAACTGCTTACTAGATTTTTTCTGACATGCTGTTTTTCATGCATGGTGACAGAGAGTTTACCTGCAATTTGAAGGGTGATTTCTCTCAGACGATACTGTCTCATCACCTCTCATGCTAACATAATGAAGGCAGCCTTGATGTTGAACACTGTGTGTAATGAAACTAATGTGATGACTGCTGTGCTGTGCTGTGCTGTGCATCATGCTCTGCACAATCGCATTAACAAGACGGATAGATTCTAGCCACTAGATGCTCAAGCAGTGAGAACCTGGGCATAGCTGAACTCACCTGTGTGTATGTTGTAGAGTGACAGGGTTGTTTTGTTGTTGTTTTTTTTTGCAGATAGCAAAACCTGCACCTCCTTCTCCAATCAAAGACAGGAGAAACAGCATGGGTTCACCCCTCAGAGTGCCAAGCAGTCCCATCCGCAGGATCAGCCGAGTTGAGAGGCGGTATGATTAATCATGTGCTCTGGATAAGTTAATCACTAAAAGCACAGGCACCATAGCCACCGATGTGAAATCTTTGCAGTGACTGGAAAACATCTGGACTACCGATCTCTTAGCCTCTAAGCCAAAGGAGAAGCAGTTTGACAGTTAGTCACCATTTCCTTCATATGTGAATAATGCTTATTGTCTTGCCTCATATTTGTGTTTCTATTGTTGCAGTCCCTCTGGAGAGAAGAAGGTTTTGGAACAGACTCCGTCTGCAGACATGAGTGGATACCAGATTCGAGTCTGAGGAAGGATTTTGGTTTGAGGTTACATACACCTGTTTCATGGGGCAACTAATTTACTGTAAAGCTTGATTTATGGTTCTGTACTGAATCTACAAAGAGCCTACACCGTAGGCTACGCAAGTGGCCTTTGCCATTGTGAGCATTTATACTTGTGTGCCGGTTGGTGGTGGGGTTTCTATGCCACCGGGTTACATTTCTTTGCCACTTACTAACAGTGGCAACTAAAACTGAGTAGGACATGTTGGAGTTACTTTTACTGAATTTACTGCAACACAGATAAGAGAGAAGACCTTGGAGGAGATGGTCTGTAGTTGTTGTGATCTGCATCGCCACAACGTGTAATTACATTTCTGGTGAGATGCATGTCAGGGTACGAGGCTACACGTTACCTATGCTGTACCTACAGTGTAGATTCACTGTAGAATGCCTATTCACAGGATTCAATGTTGAAAAGGTCACCAGCAACTTATCCTCCAAAAGCAAATGTCTCATTAGGCTTGTAATTATTTTGTTTTTGTGATTTCTGTGCATATTAATTGGTACTGGTAGTTGTCGCAAATTTTAAAAAGGGGTCAAAAGTGTAATTATTTGTAAACATTCTTCAATAACTGCAGAGTTTTGCTAACTGTGCACAATGTGAAATCTGATGCTTCCCTGAAGCTGGGCAAGACTACCACTCTGTAAATGTGCTACTGGATAAACCTTAGGTTTTTGTTGTGTTAATGTGTTCAAGAGAAGCTTTGTCTGTATCATCATACTGTAAGTGTGCAAACAGATATAATGTAATTTTAAAACCACTTATGCCCTGCTGGGCAGCAAACACTTGTGTCATTACTAGTTTGCAAACCACTACCCTTGTGCCTTGTAGAAACAAAGATTTTTAAATTCAATTCATTATTGTCATTTCCTCACTAAAAATCCAGAACCTAGCATGCTTAGCATGCTATATATACACCTTACTAAGATGTTAACTGAAGACGGGATTGAATACACAATCTAGCCTATAGAAGTATATCACAGTACAAGAAGGCATCCCTTGAGCGATGAGTCATACTTTCTGCAAAGTATACATTTTTTACACATGAACCAGGACAATTATCAAGTTGACTGATGGCAACAGACTTGTCTTCATCTGCATTTAATGTAATGGTAAGTAGGTTTAGATGTCCTGTATACTTGCTTTACACAGACTTTGTTTCTAACTTTAATTTAGAGTAGCTTTATCCAATATTTCACTTACCTTAAGTGGTATCCAAGCAATGGACTTCCATTTAAGCAAAGGTGTAAGTAAGTTTGTTTACAGTACTTTCATTTGTATTTTTTTTAGATTGTAAATTTTATCATTTTATACTTCTTAAGTGTTGGTGATTACCAGAAGACCACTTAATATTTAAGATGCACTGTTCTGACTATGTTGCCACAGCCAACATTTTTGTGTGTAGATGTCCATTTTCATTTCAGTGTTCTGTAACACACATTTTGTGCCAGACAACTTGATTTACAGGATCACAATAAAGAGTCACTATGATTGTAGCAACACAATAGTTTTCTTGTTCATGGGGACTTTTAACATAATGGTTACATATTCAATTAACTTGTCCTTTTTTAAACAGTCTATGTAAAAAATAATAATAATGAAGTAGTCATTCAGTGCTGGTAATTGGTTGGAGGAGGGTGTCCTCAGCTAAAGAGCAGCTTTTAGCAACACAGCACATGATGAGAACAGACAGAAGCGATCTCCAAACACTACACCCATTGGGTTTATACAAAGGAAACTCAAAGCCAACACCTACACAAGGGAAGCATAAATGTCAGTGAATTCAAGCACCCGGTCAGAGTTGCAACATGTTTAAGACCTCAGTGTATCTGTCAAGCTAACATTTCAGATGAAAAATCTACTGTATCTTGACGTAGTGTTTGCTGCAGTGATAAAAAATAATTGCTGTAGTATCCTTTCTGCATGCACGCCCCTCTCATAATTGGGCATCTTGCTGTTTTATGGATCTCCACAGCAGAATAATCAGCTAATATGGCTTAATTGCTGCTGTATTCAGTTATAAACCAGTCAGCAAGGAACCACTTTCATGTGTAGGCAAATAAGGTCCCTCTAAACTTGCTGCATGTAAGGTAAATTCTGTAATGTTACAATGTACTACTGTAAAACTACAGATGGTGAAATTTGTGCAGTTGAGCTCCTTAAAACAAGATTTGTTACTGTTATGGAGGGCTGTGTTGAAGTCTGGTGAATTATGGAGAAAGATGAACAAATTCTTATCCTGCATTCCAGGGGTTTCCAGATGTCAGACACCTTGTCCACCACTGTTTATAAGATATGAAGACAGATGAAATAGTGACCTATTGGGGGAAAAAAAAACAACCACTGACATGTTTCATTTACTTACATGCATCTGATGCCATAGAGGGACTAAAGATACACACAATTCCTCTGTATGTTAAAAAAATTCAACTCATGGGTGACTGTATTAAAACACTGACAAGACTGAAAGACGAGGAACACCTTTGCAGACAGCAAACACATGCCCATCACCCATGAATATGCAAGTGTCTACATGAATTATTCATCCATGCATGGAGCACACAGATTTTGAGATCTTTGCCATGACAGGTTGAGTGCCTCAGTGTAGTAGATGGGAGAGAGAGAGCCAATGTTCAGGTCACAATCTGTGCTTTCTCTTATGTACGTATTAGAGAGCAAAAAAAAAAAAATACACAGGAGTCTCAAGTTAATGAAAAATCGGTTTTATCATCTGAAAAACCTATAACTGCCTCACACTCAGAAAAATCTACTTCTCATTTTAAACAAAATTTCAAAACAATACAGCAGTCATCAACAGCCAAATGAATGGGTCAGTGTATTATAACACCCATAGGAATGAAAGAAGTCACAGCTTTTAAATGAACTACTGAAGCATCATCAAGAAGATTTGTTACATCTCAGTCTTAATTCTGAATCATTTATCTGGTGAAAATCTTGTGGAAAGAGAGAAAATATTGGCATCCGTTATGTTTCCTGGCTCATTTGAACAAAAAATATTAACTTCTATTCAATTAGAAAACCATGATCCCGTTGCCAGGAGTGAACCACAAGTGATGGTATTCATACTAACAAAAACAAAACACCATGTTTTCAGAGCAAGACCCAAAGAGAAATATGCTTGTCCTCTTACTGAGTTCAGCCAGTGTTTCCTAGCATGAAATACTCAAGTCCAGCTGGAATTTGGCCACAAGACTAAGATGGTCAGAGGGGAATATGTGATTGGGAAGGCCATTCATTGACCATAAGACATCCTCTGATAGAAGGGACAGACAACCAGTCAGCTTCAGACCTCCACTCATGATGTTGCCACCAGCTAAAGAAAAAAAAAAAGCAAAATATGTTATTTGTTACATTAGAGCTGCAACATTTGAGATACACTCTTGCTTCTTAACATGCCCACATACCTTGGTGATCAGAGGTTAAGAAGCGTCTTGGGGAGTAGAACATGTAGTCGACGGTGGCTCCCACTTCAGAGTTCAGAGTTGTGACTTCTGAAGGGCCAGAGCCTGGAAGGATGTGTTTATAGACCGACTCCAGGTCTAACTGATGACTGATAGTGTGTCTGAACCTATGACACAAAATGTATGACAAAAATCACATTTTATCTCCTCTTACATGAGTTTTGACTCACCCTGTTCTTCACTGTCTTGTGCTCTACATTACAGATTTACTGGAGGTGTGATAGGTGACAAGTCAAATGGCTCAATGATTAGTCTGAGATGAACTGAGAGGGACATGGCTGCAGCCAAAGATGGCGAACTGTGAACAAGATAGCAAACTGTCAACCTCAGCAGGAGGTTGCCAACTTTTTCCTAGAATTGCTTTAAAGGGAGGGTTAACGTTAACCCTAAACCCTAAACCTAACCTTAAACTTAACGATAAATCTGCTGAGGTCAACACCTTCCAGCTAATGTCAGCTACCTCCTGCTGAGGTTAACATCCTGTCTGTAGGCAGGTTCTCTTGGATGAACTTAAAATTCCTATTTGTTGATTAGATTAGCTTTAACACTTAGTGTCAATAACTGTGTCTTAGTTTGCTGCTGTGACACTGAGTTGCCATCTGATACCACAGTATGTATGTATGAAAGCAGTAAGAATCAATAACAACCGGCCCTTCAAATAGCATATATGATTTAAAAAACTGCAGGCAAACTGACCTTTTATCATAAGGTTGATTTCTTCTTGAAGCATCTGTAATCAATAAGGAGAAGAACTAGAGATGTCAACCATTAATCAGCTTTTTTTTTTAAATGGCAGAACCACTACAGTATACAAAATGTGGTTTTGGTAGTTCGGTGTTTCACTGTACCCGGCGTATTATCAGTCACTCCCGGGATCAGCACCAGGTTCTGAGGACGAACGCATGCAGCTGGACAACAGTGCAGCTGCAGCATGAAGTCGTGGCTGTACTGACACTTCCCTATACAAATAGAAAGTGGGTTTATATAAAGGAAACACCGCCAACACCTCTATAAATGGGAAGCAGAAACCTCAGTGAATTAAAGCACTCAGTTTGACTAAGTAGGAGTTTCATCAAATTTATAACCTCAGTATATCTAACAAGCTAATGTTTCAAACAAAAAGAAAAACTATGGTGATGAAAGTAAACCTAACAGTGGGTGACATTATTATTCCATTTGTCATACTGTTTAGGTATGGACAGTGTTTGCTGCAGTCATACAGTGGGGCAAATAAGTATTTGATACACCGCCGATTTTTCAAGTTTTCCCACTTACAAAGAATGGACAGTTCTGTAATTTTCATTGTAGGTACACCTCAACTGTGAGAGACAGAATCTACAAAAAAAATTCCAGCAAATCACATTGTTAGATTTTTTTTTTAAATTATTTCCATTTTATTGCATGAAATAAGTATTTGATCACCTACCAACCAGCAAGAATTCTGGCTCTCACAGACCTGTTAGTTTGTCTTTAAGAAGCCCCCCTATCCTCCACTCATTGCCTGTTTTAATTGCACCTGTTTGAACTCGTTACCTGTATAAAAGACACCTGTCCACACAATCAGTCTATCAGACTCCAACTTCTCCACTATAGGCAAGACCAAAGAGCTGTCTAAGGACACTAGGGACAAAATTGTAGACCTACAGAAGGCTGGGATGGGCTACAGGACAATAGGCAAACAGCTTGGTGAGAAGGCAACAACTGTTGGCGCAATTATTAGAAAATGGAAGAAGATCTCGCCTCGTGGAGTATCAATGATCCTGAGAAAGGTGAGGGATCAGCCTGGAACTACATGAGGGGACCTGGTCAATGACCTGAAGAGAGCTGGGACCGCAGTCTCAATGGTTACCATTAGTAACACACTACACCATCATGGCTTAAAATCCTGCAGCACACGCAAAGTCCCTCTGCTCAAGCCAGCACATGTCAAGGCCCGTCTGAAGTTTGCCAAAGACCATCTGGATCCAGAGAAGGCATGGGAGTAGGTCGTGTGGTCAGATAAGACCAAAATAGAACTTTTTGGTATAAACTCCACTCGCCGTGTTTGGAGGAAGAAGAAGGATGAGTACAATCCCAAAACACCGTGAAGCATATTGAAGATGGGTCATGGCTGGGTCTTCCAGCATGACAATGACCCCAAACACACAGCCAGGGCAACTAAGGAGTGGCTCCGTGAGAAGCATTTCAAGGTCCTGGCTCCAGACCTGAACCCAATAGAAAATCTATGGAGGGAGCTAAAACTCTGTTGCTCAGCAACAGCCCCAAAACCTGAAAGATCTGGAGAGGACCTGTATGGAGGAGTGGGCCAAAATCCCTGCTGCAGTGTGTGCAAACCTGGTCAAGAACTACAGGAAATGTCTGACTTCTGTAATTGTAAACAAAAGTTTCGGTACCAAATATTAAGTTCTATTTTTCTATTCTATCAAATACTTATTTCATGCAATAAAATGGAAATAAACTATTTAAAAATCTAACAATGTGATTTGCTGGAATTTTTTTGTAGATTCTGTCTCTCACAGTTGAGGTGTACCTACGATGAAAATTACAGATCTGTCCATTCTTTGTAAGTGGGAAAACTTGAAAAATCGGCAGTGTATCAAATATTTATTTGCCCCACTGTATACATAACTGCTGAAGAATGCTGGCTGCACATGTGCTGCTCTCATAATCAAGGACGTTTCTGTTTTTTGGATCTCCAAGTTTTTTTGAAATTGCAGCACTACTGCCATAAGACTGAACTTCACTCCTTAGAAAAATAACCAGTGGGTAAAAAGCATGCTCCGACTTTAAAGACTGACCTGTTTCTGCATTCTGCTTTTGAAACTTGTCCTTGGCAGTAGTGTACTGGCAGTTGTCAGTGATGCCCAGAGAGCTGGGCCACAGGGGCGCAAACAGTCTGGAACAATGGGTTTTGTATGACAGATCCTCTTGACCTGATATCTGTTAGACATGGAGAAGACATATGGTACATGGATATAGAGGCATCACAGCAGAATATGTGAAATAAAGTGCCTAATGTAGCTATTCAAAATAAGTCAACAGAAAGCAATGTGGGAGTAGCTGCTAGTATGCCAGGCATATTTCAGTCTCACCATCCATGCTGGTAGACCCTGGTAGTAGAGCTCACCAGTGGTGATGAGCTGGTACAGAGGCATGTGTGGTACAGAGTTAAAGTCCCCACACAAAATAACATTACACTGTTCACCTTTGGCCTTACAGAATCTGACCATGCTGTCTATCTCTGCCAGCATTATGGCTAATTGAGCCAGCTTCACGTCACCCCTCCTGGGGTTGAAGAGCAGATGGGTGTTGGCCACGCACAGGGGTGAGCCCTGTAACTGGATCTTGGCCTCCTGGCTGACTACTGGTCGTAGCAGCAAAACAATCCCCACGTTGTGCCGGTCCAGCACCTCTGTCTCGGGTCTGTAGAACTCCAGCTGGGACAGTGACATCACAGAGAAGCAACTGTTACGATAGCATATAGCACAGCCATCTGTTTTGGTCCCCGTACGTCGCTTGTACACACAAGTGTAGCCTGGAGAAACAACATGAAGATAATAAGATAATATCCCCCAACATGACTGTTCCAGTATTTTGTCTCAGATGACCCACCCATCTGAGACAGGGCAGGATGCAGCTGTTCATGGTAGTGGTTCTCCTGAACTTCTTGGAGACACAAAATCTACACACAGGACATAAACAACTTATTAGTCAACATCTAGGATTATATATTGAATGTAGCCTGTTTACATTTCAAGGTAAAAAAAAACAAACAAAAAAACGTATTTGACGCACATCTGGTGCCCATTTCTCTATTTCCTCTAGGAGCAGGGTGCAGCGGTAGCTCCAGTCCAGCACCTCCAGGGGGCAGTGTGTGTACAGCTCCCTGTTGGCCTCCAGCAGGTCCTGAGCCATGATGTTGTAGGACATGGCAGTGAAGTCCATCGAGGACTTTGTAAATGGGAAGGGTAGTAAGGTGGGCTCTGCTGCGGTAATACTCTCTTCTACCTTCCGCCATACTCTCCACACGACTGGGTGGAACACAAACACATACGTGCATGTTTTTTCCAAATTAACAGATGGATTTGAAACTACTGATGAGCTTAGAGTGGAAATAATACAACTGAGAAAACTCAAACTGAAAATGTTAATGAAGATATCCAATTCTCACCCTCAAATGGCTGTTCTAATGGAGGGTAAGAGCTCAAAGCAGGAAACTGCCGCAGTGGGCAGTGCACCTCTTCTGCCAGGCCAGGTCCTGCAGGAAAGTGCCAGCCAGTTTGTGTATTGTGTTGTTCGCTGAGATCAAATACCAGGTGAGAACTGCTTCCCTCACTGCCATCAGCTGTGGAAGCTGCATATTCATCCCAGCACTCAATTATTTGCGCTACAATTTCATCTGGCATGACTGACTCTTCCAGCCTTTGCTTCTGTATTTGTTCCCCTACTGGACAGGTGGCATCTTGCACGCTGTTCTCAGTTGGCAATACTGACCCTTCCAGGGTGAACACCTGTAAATGTTCTTGTACTTGACAGGTTGTATCTTGTATGCTGTCCTCCGTTTGCAGACACTTTAACCGTGCCCCAACTGTTTGCTCTAGACTGAGCTCCTCAATTGGAAAAATACCTCCATCCTCTCTGTTTGGCTTTTTATGTGGCCCCTCAGGGTGGACAGTCATTCCACCTTTGTCTTGCTTGGGAATGTCCAGGTTGTCTTGTTGCTGTCTGTTTCTCATCTCTGCTTCATTCTCTTTCACTGCAGACTGCCCCTCACATATCTTTAAAGCAGCCTCAGTTGTAGTTTTTTTATGCAGGGCAGTCATGAGTTATTTTGGTCCATGTCGAGCATTCAATCAAGCATGTCAAGCATCATCGTTTTTTTCTGAGCTTGAGCCTTTCATTTCTGCTTTTGTCGCACTGTTGGGGCTAAACTACTGGCCTAGCAGGGTCGTCTGAGACGGGGTGAACCTCTTGGTTGAGAAAGCACCACCATTCCACTCTGCAGCACCATTAACCATTGCAGGAGGGGGACTGTTCTTTGAGGCCTCTATAAAACAACATTAGCGTCAAAAAACAGCTATGCATTCATACTAAGCTAAACATACTGATACTTTTGACTGACTTTACCTAACTAATTTCAAAACTGCTGAAAGCCTAACTAAATATAAACGACACTGCATAATACTCCCACGTGTTGGCGTTCTGACGTCGTAGGGGGCGTCAAATCTCAAAAAGTGGTGTAGCATATTGCCACCAGTTAGCTTATTGGTAGTACCAAGTTGGTCTAAGCTCCAGTTCTCACAAAGAACGTTAGCTCAACCTGTAACACCACAGGGAACAGGTTACATTCATCTTGCAATAAAAAAGCATGTCCAAATCACCAACTTTGTGCTGGCACTGCCAAGAAATGTCAACGAACCCACCCGTTACCTCCTAAAAGCTAAGAGTGCAATGCATTGTTTTAATGTGACCGAACGCTTCTCAACTAACAGTGACACTTTTAAACACGGTAACCATTTGTGCCTTAAGTTTTACCTGGGCGTCGACTGATCAGATACCACGTCAACCGGTAGAGCACATAAAACAACAGGGTACAAATCATGTTTGTCTATGAGCGCATGCCATTTCGCCCTGACAGTGACGCATGCGCATTACGACGTTGGAATGTTAGGAGCCCATGTCAAATAACACTGGTGTGGTTTGTGTTTCCTCGCGGATGCTAACATTCATTCATTCATTTTCTACCGCTTAGTCCCTGAACGGGGCCACGGGTGGGGCCGGAGCCAATCCCGGCCGACAATCGGGCGAAGGCGGGGTACACCCTGGACAGGTCGCCAATCCATCGCAGGGCTATGTTAACAGTATTTCATATGTAATTGTAGGGGTCCTACAAATTCTGTTGCGCAAAGACTTTTATTAGACCTTTATTTTGAAATGGTTCATGAATATTGCGCTGTCTTCCGGTGGTGCCGGGTGTGTGGGGAGACGGGCGGAGAGAGAAGAGAAAAGCTGCGACAAGTTTACGGAGAACGGGCGAAGTTCGATAACTTTGGTACTCTAACAAGTTATGTGTGGACCGATAACCCGCCTTAGAGTTGCATGACGCTGCTGTTAGGTCTCCGCTCGTGCTAACGAACGTGTCGTCTATAGGAACGTGTAGAGTTTTGCCGCGCTAGCGCGTGTAAAGCTAGGCTGCAGGCCTGTGATAGCTTATAAAGTTTCGGGAGTTAATTCTCGGTGTTTTTTTTTTCGTGCTTTGCACCAAGAACATTGTTTTTATTAGTTCACACGAATTCCAAACCGGGTGCATGCCGAAATTCATATTCTCTTTTTTGGGAGACCGGCTGATTCGTTGGACGGGATTGAGTGTAGCTAGCGCTTCTACGCCGATCACCGTGGGACAGGATTGTGGCCTCGTCGGACCAAGCTGTGGTTTGCAGGATCACGGGGCAATCGTTGGAGGGTCATAGAGTGAGGTGACATAACCCTGCATACCCGGACATCCTCCAGCTCTTCATACCTTATCAGATCTTCATACCAGTAGCAAAACCGGATAGTTATACCGATCGGTCTGTCATACTTTATCAAAATGTCCTAACTATACTTTAAAATGGACATAACGCTGCAAAAAAATGCAATACTCAGTTTTAACATGGAATCTTGAGTGGAGCTGTGGCTATTGTTACCAAGTGAGTCATATTTCACGCTTTGGAGTATCACCGTACGAGATTGGATTGGATGTCATTTTTGGACATGTCATTTTGATTTTTTGGATTTCCTGGATTTTTGGAGTGAACTTTAACTTTTGAACTTTGGACTGAACTGGTTATTTAAGTTTTTGGTAAAAGGACATTTTGGTTTAAGGAGTAAACGATTTGTTTTATTAATTATTCTTTTTATATTAATACTTTGCTATAATAAATTATTTTTGGTTCGTTAACCTGAACTGGTTTAAGCTATATTCCTACCCTAAGGAGTGGGGGCGTCTCACTTATCTTGTTGGTCTTGGGAGGGGTGGGCTGTGCATGTAAGAAAAGCTTTCACCTGCACGCACACATACACACTCCAGGGGCCATCGTGTGTAAAGGTAGTCCTGGAGCCCATCTCACCTTGGCTGTAGCTCATCATAGCAACACGATAAGCACCAACCTATACAAATTGTTATATAGAAACCAAAAGCATTGGGTGGGGGGACCCAGATCCTGTAACTCCCTCAGTCTTCCCTAGGGTAGGGGTTATTATTTCCCCCCACAAGGCGGTGGCATATTCCCCTCCGCCACATAATGAAACTATGAAAATATAACATCTTATTAAATGCGTAGTATACTCAAACATGATTTCATGCAGCATTTGCAGTATGTTTTGCTTGGAGTTAAATGGATTCTGTTAGGTAATTTCTTAGTCAGATAGATAGTGATTAGAAATCTGTTGTATTGGAAAATGTTAGTGTAGCCAGGATGTCTTGCTCAGGCTGTTAAATGCTCAGTTCATTGTCATGAGTTCTGCAGGCTGCATCTAGGCCAAGGTCACTAGATTGAAGAGTCTGCAGGCAGGATGAATATTGTTAGTAGCATGATATGTTCAGCCGTAATCTTAATCATAATATCTTCCGAGG